TATAATTATATATAACGAGTGACAAAAACACTGTATCAACGATTCACTTACAATACAATTTGTGTTTTACTTACGATACAATTTGTGAGCTTGAACCGCGTCTATAAATTCAATGATATGATCTCAAACCTTAAAGTACTTAAGTGAAGTGGTGAAATTTCGTGATCCACCACCTTCTCGAAACCTCCTCCCCTCGTTTTCCAAATTGTATACTGTTTAAAAAAAATTGTGTGGGGCCCGGGGCGGAAAGACCGAGCCTTATTATCTGGTGCTACTTCGACGGTGTCAACGAAACAAAGAAGTTTTCAACCGTGTGTAGGAGAAATGAATCACCTTAGCAACGTTCTGATTAGGAAACGCCGATTCAAGAAGATGAAGGTACGTATATGCATGTTTGCTTCAAGAGGTATATATTTTTATTCATTTTGACGAACATTCCAGTTAATTGAACTGATAATTGTGTGCAGAGGAGGAATACCAAAGACATGGAGTCAAAACTTCAAAAGTTGAGAGAGGAGATGCAAGAAATTGGTGCTGAACAAAGAAGTATAAGGGAAGGACAAAGAAAAGTTCGAGAGAAATTTGAAGCCATTGAAGCCGAGTGCCAAACGCTTAAGAGAGAAACAAGGCTTGTCATCCAGCAGAGCGCTAAAAATAAAATTCGTCTGGCTATCATGTTTAGAATTTTTAAGGCACGCGAAGAAGGCGACTTTGCAAAGGCAACCGAACTCACTAGGTTACTCCGGTATGGTTTCATCTCTTTCGCATGTATGATTCATTTGAAAATCTTTTCTTCACGATTAAACTAGAAAGAAAAAAAAGATTGCTTTCGTGTTGAGTTTTGCTTTTATGAAAAAGAGAAAAACAATATAGGTTTTGGTTAATTTAATATACTGATTTTCTCCTTTCCGTTCTTTGCAGGGAAATGGTTGTGAGGGATAATATGTTAATGAGGGCACCAGCAAGTGATGAATGAAAGTGCAGATCGAGGTTAAGAATGTTTTCTATAAGGAGGACTTGCAAGGTTGCTTTGTGCGGAGGATGAAGTAGAAAGTTTTTAAAACAGCGGACTTGCGACCATTTTATGCTTTGTCAAATTTTACCGTTGCCCTCCAAATTTCCCGTTGTTAAAAAAAGCCTTGTTCTCGCTAGGAGTGGCTTTGGTCATGCCTCTTGTGGATTGTAATCATGTTTTATACTTGTACGTTAGGTGATTCTGATGATTATGGCGTGTAACAGAAAATAATAACAATTATGGTTTTGAAGCAAACTAATAGATTAAAACTAAAGTCCAGCGCTTGGAGGCGAATCCTGCAAGGCAGGACGTGCTTAGGACTAACTGAACTGGGTTTAAACCCAAGTCCCCCCTCCCTCGTCCCCGAAAAAAAATTCA